CAGTCCTAAAATAAGTGATTCTCATCTCTCAAGAAGTCAAACATTTTTTAATTATAGATATGAGTACTATAATAGATATACAAATTATAATCTTACAAAAGGGCATGTCACATAAAAAAATTACGTCTATTTCTTATAAAGGTTTATGTGTAATATTAAAATCTTTTAGATGTGCATGCACGCTCATTCTTATAAATGCATGCACGCACACCTTAGCCTTACGAGCACTTACGAGAGTGACGAGTTGGATCAGTAAGGGGATATTTGTTTGCCTGGTCCAGATGAGCCATTGAGCCCAAGGGGTGCAACCCAGGTTGTTTGTTTGCTTTGACCGGCCCACGAGCCAGGCAGCAAGCCCCTCAAAGCACCCCTGGGCCTAGCCCTGGAGAAACAAAAAATTCTTTCGTTCCTGCCGGGCTCGGCTGTAGCGGGCAGCGACGCTCTCGTCGCCTCCTTTTGTTTACCGTGAAAGCCTCCCCCCGCTGCCAACCCCGTCATTGAGTGCACGAGGCTCCAGCTCGGCGTGTGACGACTTCCCCTCCCTCTCGACGACTCCCCCTCCCTTTTCGACGACTCTCTCCGCGACCTCCGACCTCAGGTGGCTCATTCTCATCCAGGAAAACAAACATTGGCTGGTTGCACCACCACATGCTGGATCACAAGATGCAGATCACAAGATGCCGATAACTTTGATTAATATCTGTGAGATCAAATGATCGAGAGATGAAAAATGTTAGCTAGAAAAATAGATTGAGTATTGATCGAGAGATGAAAAATGTTACAATAGCCGAGGTCTATATTTGTACCCTAGGCTGGCTGATACAGAGTCCTACACAAATATGACTAGACAATTCCTAAGTAAAAAGAAAATAATCTAATTTGAACTCCACGATTTCCTTTCTGGTAGAGTCCGATTCTGCTACGCCTGAGCCGATACCACTGACGTCGTGATTTTCACGATCCATTCCAAAAATTTGGTGTAAACAAAAAGAAAAACAAAACATCCTAAGTACGCCGAAACTTGTGTCACACCACCATTACGAATTTACCTTGCTTCAAATTTCAACGTATCATCCTTGATTTAAAAATAATATATAGAATCATATTAGAATAGCATACCCATGGAGTAAGCCTCTTAGGATTTGGATTAGTGGTAATAGGATAAATAAGTCGGTGTGCAAATTGATTTAGACGAGCTGCAAAAAAAACAAAAGGAAAGTCCATTTGAAAGGTGGCAAGACCTGTCGGCACACCACGAGCCAATATGGCCAATCGGCCTGCCAGGTGCCGTGAAGAGTAAGACAGAGGAGGAAAAAACAAAACCAAAAAAGAAAAGCAAAGAAAAAATGAAAAAAGAAAAAAATGAAAAAAAAAAAAATAGAAAAGTAAAAAAATAAAAAATAAAAAATGAAACATTGTAAAAAATATAACGCGTCAGCTACCGTGGCCAACAGTGGCCGACGCCCTGAGAGTCCAGGGATTCTTGGAGCGTTAAATAGAGTAGCTGTTATAGATACTACTGTTTAGTCGGCTGTCATACCACTTATCGGCTTGCGAGTACCGATAAGTACCCGTGTCAGCTCTCAACTAGACATCTCAATTGCCGATAGGTTACTAGATTTGCAATTTCTTAAAAATGGCATCTAATTTTATAATTATTTATTTAAATAATATTATATCAAAAAATCCATCTAAAAGGCCTAGTGTCGACGGCACGTGCGAGATGCCATTTGAGCTGGGTACAGTAAAATGTCGTAAACACTGTTTTAGCCTTTTTTTTCTTCTAATTAACTTGAACTTTCAGCGATTAATGACGGAGCGTTTCGCGAGAGAAACTCACAGGAAGCAACCCCGGGCAGCCTGAAGAAGCAAAGACAGTAATCACTTGCTGCTGCCTGCTATGGTGCTACTGGCCTGCTTGGTTTTCGACGCCAGCACTAGAAATACCGATGCGTGTGCGCTCCAATCGGCACCACCGCCCATCCATCCACAGCTCAACACATCAACCCGATCGAGTACCTGTGGCTGTGGGCTGTGGTATGGGCAGATATCGATCAACAGGCAGTGTGGTGCGTTGTGGGCACAGAAGAGATGTGCGACTGTGCGAGGGTGCAGTGCTGGTCGTCCAAGGGCTCGCGCCATCGGCCACCGCAGGGACAGAGCGACGGCTTCGTGGAGCAAGAGGCTGCGGACGGCACCGGAGACAACACTGAGGAAGCCGAGAGGGTGGGGAGCCGCTGCCTTCGTCATCGGTCGGTGCCCGGCTAGCCATAAGCTAAATACCAGAACCAACAGTGTATAGAGAAAACAACAACAGATTTGAGAATGCAAATGTGATCAGACAGGAGGATACAACAACAACAAAGTGATTTTGATTAGATTGGCCTTAGGACTAATTATTGTTGTGATGCATTAATTAATCATACCTGCCTCGAGATAATTAAAAACCAATGTGACAGAGAGATTAACCGCACAAATATGAGTTCAGTACATACAACAGCAGTCAAAAGCATAACCAGCTAAGACATTGGTTCATGAGACATAGAACAAAAGCATGAAGGCAAGTAATGAAACCTAGGTTGTTATCATCATTGGCCTACACATTGCAATTACACGAGGGACACTTGTTTATCTTCATCCAAAGAGCAAACAGCAGGTTAGAAAGAGCCAATATTAGCACATTCTTCCAATAGCCACTCTTACCAATAGCTGTAGGAATTCCTTCACAACAGTCATCTGGGAGCAGCTGGGAGGGGAGGGGAGTTACTGCTCCCAGAGATGCTTTGAAATCTCTAAGTGCCTCCTTATAATTTTTGTACTTCAAATACCTTGCATTCTTGAATCCAAGAACCTGTTGACTGCATTCATACCAGGTTCTATAGATTCCAGGTTGCTTCCCATGGAAAACCACATAGCAAGGTGCCATTTTCTATGAAATCAGAATTGCAATTAGCCTCAGTCCTTTGTGAATCATGAAACAAGGCATGAGTGCGACATTGAAGATCTAGGGATTGATGAAAGAAACAACCCATGATCCTAAATTCCACACCAATGGCTTGGTTCATCTTGTTGAAAAGAAACAATTGACATCATAGGCTAAAAAAAGTGGCCTCAGCTCTAGAATTTGGTGCTGTAATTCATGTAAGTACTCATCACAGGTGGCTGCACATGTAGCAAACAAGTCCAGAAAAGCAACAACTTTGGGACTGCAAATAAGTAGGAATAGAACATCAAGGCTGCCATGGAACCCATCTGGCCATCCATTCTCTACCGTCATCCAACTGGTGTTGCAAGAGAATGGATGGTTCATATGGATTTGATGACAGTCATGAAAATCAGCAAGAACAAGCCATGAAAAAACAATAACAACATAAAACAGTTGTGCAGCCACCTCATTGTTTTTTTTCTACATTATGCATCATAGGCCATATTAGAAACCCACTTTAGGCACCAACTCATGGAAACACATGTTGAAACAACGGTTTCTAACAAGCATGAGAAGTGGGCGGAGGCCTTCATCTTAGGTTGGGGTCTCCGCCTAAGATGGGCGGAGGCCGGCCTCCGCCTAAGACGGGCAGAGGCCCCTGAACGCGGGGCACTCCTGTCGGACAAGATCATCCGTCAGAGGCTCCGGGTAGAAGGTTGCTAAACGAGGGATTCAGTAGGCTTTGTCAAAGTGGGAGTAAGAAAGGGGCGGAGGCCTTCGACTTTGGCCGAGGCTCTGGACTCTGGCTTCGGCAGAGGCACTGCCTGAAAGAGAGAATGAGGATCAAATACCGACTCACAAGAACTAGGGTTTCATTCATTCATCCACCAGCCCCCTGTACAATTACAAGTGTTCCCTATTTATAGGGCTCAACTACCACTTTACAGAGTTTGAGTTTACAACAGTGCCCCTCAACTGCTACGGTACATTCCAGGAATATTCCAGCCCTAGTGTCTAACCTCAGGGGTGTTCTCATCACACCGTCTCGCGACGTCTTCACCTTGGGCCTAAGCCGACGCCCACCGGAGGCCCATCAACTGTCCTCACGTATGCCTTGCTGACTTGATCATCCCGCACCTTGATGGGCCTCCAACGCCTCGGGGAACACCTTCGCCACAATCACTGCACTAGGCATCCGCTGTCCCGGGGAGAGCCTCCGCCGTCCCCGAGAGAAACTCATCGTCATCCTTGTACTAGTCCTCCGCCATCTTAGGGAGAGCCTCTGCCATCTCGGGGAGAACCTCCACCATTATCCTTGCGCTAGGCCTCCGCCGTCTTGGGGAGAGCCTCCGCCATCTCAGGGAGAACCTCCGCCATTGTTCCTGTGCTGGGCCTCCGCCGTCTTGGGGAGAGCCTCCACCGTTTTGGATAGAGCCTCCGCCGTTTTAGGGACAGCCTCCGCCATTATTCCTTCATTAGGCCTCTTCGAGGGGGAGTTGGCCCATACTCCGTATGGGCTCCCCCAACAACACAGGTATCAAATCTAGGAAATGACAGAAATATATGAAAGCATGAAGTGAAGATTCAAACAAGGCCATCCCCAAAATCATGAAAGCCATGAAATCCATGGACACATCCATTCACTGCCATCAGCATGGTATGAGCATGTTGTTGCTAGGGAATGGATGTGTCCCACGGGTTCAATGACACCCATGAAAAGCACAATGTAATACAATCCTCCCAATGCAACAGGAATATAAAGTGACAAATATAGTAGCAGTAGCAGTAACCAACAGAGGTTACTAATTAATACATCAAGTTTGTCTCCAAATAAAGGTTCAGCCCACAACAAGTAGGCACTTAAGTGAACTACCTAGTTACACTTGCTCAGATATAGTTAGCCACCCTCCAACTATGCAAATCCAAAAGGACAGGTGCTGGTCAACCATCTACCATGCATAGGAGCTATACCAAAATAGAACCCAAAAGAGAAGAGAGTGAGTGAGGGAGATGGAGGAACTATACATGTCAACAGTCAACCCACTGCTTGCCTTGCTGTCCTAGATGGACAGAACTACATATAGTAGTTCTTGGCAAGGTAGTTCCTTAGCCAAATGTCCCTATGGTTGATTGCCACGTTCACAAAGCCCTTGCCAAGGGCCTTGTTTTTTAGCAGGTAGGTGTAGGAAACAATGAGAGCTTCCGTGGTGAAGCCAGGCATCTCCCTCACTGTAAGATAGAGGTCAGGATCCACATGTGCAGGCCCAGTCTCTCTGAGTGCAGAGGCTACATTATTGACAGCATTAGTCATGTTAGTCATCATCAGCATCTCTTCCTCACTGAAATTACTCCTCTTTCTCTTTACTCCCATAGTGGAAGTGAGCAGCTCAGTTGTCTTGCTGCCCTCACCCATCTCAATCCTAGAAATGTGTAGGATAGTGGATAAGTGCAAACACAACAATTGGTTAAACCCAAGGCAGATAAACATGAATAATAAGTACCTGCATATATGGGTACCATCTCTGTCTACCCATGATTTTTGGATGTGCGGAAGTGGTAGGAGGCTTGATCATTTCATTCCTAAGCTCACCAACAATATAGAGAACTCGGTGGAAGACTCTACTAACTGTCTCAATGGACCTCCTAAAAGACTGGTGAACTACCCTGAACCTCTGGTTGTGACCAACAACACGGAGGAACATTACAACCTGCTCCTCAACAGAACACCCACTGGTTTCTCTAATAAGACCTCTACCACTAAAAAGGTTACATAGAGCAAAAAAGGAGCTCTGGTCATAGGCAACATAGCCAAACACTCAGCATCAGTGCTGTTAAGTATCATTTGGAGGGTGGATAGCCTATACTGCTGGCTTAATGACCAAGGACCAAAGGGACATGCTCTAGTTGGGCCATAATTCTTCTCAGTCTAGTGACCAAAAATAAAAGCATAACCACAACCATGGCAGCTGCTTGCCTGGCCATCATCTCACGTTGTGTAGTTGGATCCATCTACATGCATTCAACATTCAAACATACAACTCAATTGTAGTAGACCCTGGCTGGCCTCAACATGAAAGTTTGATCATTCATATCAAAAGCTAACAGCACGGCTGTATAAAAAGAATGCCTCCAGTGCATTGGATAGAATCATCATCGACCATGAAAGAATTGATATTTCAGCATACAGTGGACAGATTCATCATTGACCATATGAAAAGTACCAACAATGCAGCATAAATGTTTCAGTGCTCGAAATCAACATTGATAGCAACTACACAAGCATCATGTACCCAAACAATCATTCCACAGAGAGAAATCGAAATCAAAATAGGGCAACAGGAAACACTAGAATGAAAGCAAAGGGGATTTGGGGGGATTTCACCTCAGGGGAATCGACAGAGACAGGAAGAAGCGCAAGACGGAGAAGGAGATGAGCTGCAGTGGAAGCAAAAGTAGATCCGGTTTGGGACGAAGCAGATCGACCCCAACCGAGACTAGCCGCACCACCGAAGGAGGAAGAACATGAAGGAGGAAGACGACCGCGTCCACGGAACCTGGCAGGAGGCGCAGCAGCGCTGCAGCCAAGCGGATCCCGACCACCTGAATGGAGACGAAGACCGGAAAGGAAGAAGCCCACCGCACCGCACCACCACCACACCAACACTGCCGGTCACTCAACACGAACGCAGTGGGGAAGACGGAGCTGGAGGAGGGAGAAGAAGGCAGCGAGGGCGGCATATAAAGGCAGCGGATTTCGGCGAGTAGGAGCGTGAGAGGAAGTTTCATGGTTCTCGCGTGAGCCCGCTCGAGCCGCTGCCGCCCTAAAATCGCCCGCGCGAGGACAGAGGGAGCTTGGCTCTAAAGAAACGAACCCTAGGAGCGTTCCCCCGGATGCAGAAGAGAGAGTGTGTTTTGCGCGCGCAGAGCTGTCCGCCAGCTGGGCCAAGCAAATAAAACAAGCCGGGTTGCAGCTAGGGAGCGTCGGCCACCCCCTTGGCCCTATATCAAAGAGGCCTACATATATGATATCTTCATTCAGCTTCAGTGCTTCATAGTTCATACCATACTCATACAAACTACTATGTCGAAATGCATATACAGTTGTATCATTGTCGAGGACCAATACTAGGGTACCCGAAGAGGAGGAGCTAATAATCATCAACATTGATTCATCCGAGCAGTCAAGAGCACGACTACAGCTCCAACCGACCCCGGGTGCGTAAGCTCCACCTCGCTCGGCCTCTGAGGACGGGCTCCACCTCGCCCGACACCAAGGCCGTGGGCTCCGCCTTGCTCGACCTCTGAGGGCTGGCTCCGCCTCGCCCGGCCTCTGGGGGTGGGCTCCGCCTCGCCCGACACCGAGGCCGCGGGCTCCGCATTGCTCGACCTCAAACGGCTGGCTCCGCCTCGCCCGACACCGAAGCCGCGGGCTCTGCCTTGCCCAACCTCTGAGGGCGGGCTCCGCCTCGCCCAACACCGAGGCCGTGGGCTCCGCCTCACCCAACGTTTGAGGGCTGGCTCCGCCTCGACCGACCCCGAGACCAGGGTATCCATCTCTCCCGACGGAGACCCATACCGCCGCCAACCACTCTAGGTCCAAGCGAATGAGCCTAGGTCAAAGCTCTGACACTAGAGAGGTGACCGACACGCCCCAATATAACCCGTAGCCATGATGGGCCATACCTAGGGAGTCACATCAGGAACAGTGTCGGATGTACCGGTGTTGTTCTGCCTAATCCTCGTACGAGGACTGACAGACGCTTCAGTTCACCACGACGTCTGCCAGGATGGAGTGGAGCGCCACGACCGGGAGACGACGCCTGTGCATGGCGCTAGTGACGAACAGGGCCGCGGCGTGGAGCTGTCCCTGTTGACGTCTACAGGGTTGACGGGACCCGCGTGAAGGAAAAGGACTAGAAGATCCTGGAGGACTTCTTCTCCTTCTCATTCTCCTATTTTCCCTCCACGATAACCCGTGCTTTCCCTTGGCCTATAAAAGGGAAAGCAGGGCGTCCTATAAGGGGCATGGCAACACATCGCATCGATTTGGACTGGAACCCATCGAACCCCGAACCGATCAGAACACACAAGCACACAGCCAGGAAGTGACCGAGCTCTCGCCACCCGTTCGCTCCTCTCATCATAGACTTGGGACATGTCCCTCTCTTGACCGTTTGTAACCCCTACTACGAACTTTCAGTGCCAGTAACACGAGCAACAGCAACGAACTGGACGTAGGGATATTCTGCCCGAATCAGTATAAATCTCGTGTCCTCTTAGCACATCATCCGAGCCAGACACGTAATATTAAAAATTTACTAGTTGGTGACAACTCGAAACACGGACAATCACTGAAAAGGCAACTGAAAAACCTAAAAATATGAAATGGGCAGAGAGCTTTTACATCAGCGATGGTAACGGTATTGGAGACAAATATACTACCCATCTCAAGTCTCTTTTATCTAATTTCTTCTGTGTGCTCGTGCATGGATGCAACGGTTACAGTCCCCATCATCAAATCAACTCACAAACGGAACGCACCATCCCAACAGCCCATCCAAGGCACATTTCTCATGACCGGCAGTTCAGGGGACCTAGTCCCACACGCATCTGCGTCTCCCCCAACCCAATACCCTGAAAAGAAGCCCAGTCCAGTCCATCCTCCGCAAACCGGCCAGCCTCACCACAGCCCACGACACACCAAACCTCGGACATGTCGCAGGCCGAGCGATCGCGCGCGGTCGCCGCGCGCCGCCCGGACGCGCCTCTCCACCTCGTCTTCGTGCCATTCCTCGCGCGCAGCCACTTCGCCCCGCTCGCGGCCAAGGCGGCGGCCTCCTCCGCAGCCGCCCGCGAAGAGCACGAGGTCGCCGCCGCCACCGCCACCACGGCTGCCATCGTCACCACGGCACACTTCGCGGCCCTCGCGCCGGCGTCCGTGCCGGTCCACGCGGCGCCGCTCCGCTGCCCCGGCGGGCACGAGGACTTCTCCCTCCTCCCGGACGAGGCCTCCTTCGCACCGACCTTTTTCGCCGCCGCGGAGGCCGCCCTGGCCCCGGCGCTCACCGCCGCCATCCGCGCCCACGACGGCCGCAGGCCCGTGGCGGTCGTCTCGGACGCCGTGCTCTACTGGGCGCCGCGAGTCGCGCGCGACTGCGGCGTGCCGCACGTCACGTTCCACACTATCGGCGCCTTCGCCGCGGCGGCTATGGTCGCGCTCCATCTCTACCGTCCCGAGGTGGTGCTCACGGGCCCGTTCGCGGTCCCCGGCGGCTTCCCGCACCCCGTGAGGGTCAACAGGGCGCAGGTCAACGAGGAGGCGCTGGCGAACCTCCCTCTCTTCCGTGCCGCGGAGGCCCAGAGCTGCGCCGTCGTGTTTAACAGCGTCTCCGCGCTCGAGTCCGACTTCGCCGCGTACTACCAGAGCCAGCTCGCCGGGACGCCCAAGAAAGTGTTCCTCGTCGGCCCCACGCGCGCCGCGGTGTCTCCACCTCCACGCGCCGTCACGGAGCGGGACCCGATTCTGCAGTGGCTCGACGGCCGGGACTCGGGGACGGTGGTGTACGTGTGCTTCGGGAGCACGTGCGCGCTAGGCGAGAGCCAGCTCCGTGAGCTGGCCGCCGGGCTGCGCGCGTCGGGCCGGCCGTTCGTCTGTACGATCCCGACGCCGCCCCGCGGGGATGGCACTGGCAGCTGCACGGAGCGGGAGGAGCGCGCGTCCAGCCACGGCATGGTGGTGGCCCGGCGGTGGGCGCCGCAGGCGGAGATCCTGGCGCACCACGCGGTGGGCGGCTTCGTCACGCACTGCGGCTGGAACTCGGTGCTGGAGGCCGTGTCCGCCGGAGTCCCGCTCGCGACGTGGCCGCTCCGCGCGGAGCAGTTCCTGAACGAGGTGTTCCTCGTGGAGGTGCTCCGCGTGGGCGTGCGGGTGCGGGAGGTGGCGCGCGAGTCGGACCTGGAGGCCGTGGTGCCGGCTGACGCGGTAGCGCGCGCCGTGGGAAGGCTCATGGGCGGCGATGGCCAGGACGAGGAGGCGGTCGCAGCGAGGAGAGCCAGATCCAGGGAGCTCGCGGCCGCGGCGCGGGCGGCCGTGGCGGAGGGCGGTTCGTCCTGTGGTGACTGGGCACGGCTGGTATATGAGCTCAAGTCGTTCCACGGCCGCGACAGCGATCCACAGACGTGATCACGTGTACTAATGTTTGTCACGTACAAATGACAGTGGTAAATGCTTACGGGTGAGCAAACACACTTAGGCCAGCCTACTAGTTTCCAAGACTCGATATGTTAGAAAGAGTGTAGATGAATTTTATTCCATGAAACTTATTTCATCCCATGAAATTTTTATCATCTCTTTTCATCTATTCTTTGTCATGTCAGCTTATTTAATGCTATGAAACTCCCATTGAAATTGGCCTTACACACACTAGGAATAAATAGCATAGCGAGTCAGCATCCGGAAGGTGCCCGCACAACGAGCGAGCGAGCGCTCCAGTAGTGGGCCTCCTGCGCTGCCTGGATGTCACCCACGCTGCCTGCCGCTTTCCACGCGCACCCCATGTGCAACACCTAATCTACTTTTGAAACATACAGATACAACATAGAAAAGAAGATAGATGAAACACTTGAAACAAACATCTGAAACACTTGCGAAAATGACTTAAAACACTTGAAAACCATTGCAAAACATATGCAACATCCAGACGAAATACTTGGAACATAGGTATGAAACACTTGAAACATATGCTTGCAACATGCATGTATATGCAACACCCAGATAAAATACTTGCAACATACGTTTAGAACAGATGTAACATTTGGAACATACACTTAAAACATATGTATATAGTCATTACAACATGTGCAACTTCCTGATTTACTTTTGCAACATTGATATACAAACTTGCAACATACCTCTGAAACACTTGAAATATACTCTTGCAACATGTGCTTTCAACGTAGCATCTACTTGCTATTTGGACGAATGGAGGCTTGTTGACGCGGAGCTCGATGCCGCGGAGTGGCGCGCGGGGGAGGAGGGGGATGCCAGCGGGCGGGTGGCTGCGTGGCCCCGACGAGCGGCTGTGTGGCCACCGACGAACTGTTGAGTGGCTCTCGGTGATAGGGTGGGCAGGTGTGGTCCCCCGTGGTGGAGGCGACACCGCGGCCTACGGCGAGCGTCCCCGTGCTAGGAAGGTGAGCAGCGGGCAGGCAGCGCGGTGGAGTCGGCCGCAGAAGACGCTTGCATGCGAAGAAAGAAAGCCGCGACGGGAATCGATATTTTTTTATGGAGAAGCCGGGAGCAGGCTCCTTATTAGGCTCTGCAGGCCTAGGAAGAACGCATCTGGAATGTCGAAAGCTTCGAGGAGAGCATTTCCGGGCTTATTAGGGCTTCCCAATGCGGACTAATACAAACATAGACCTCAGAATAAAGTAATAGGCCATGGAGATCGGGCTTCCATGTAGGGATGGCAACGGGTACCCGCGACCCGTTTACCCGCGGGTAAAAACCCTATTAGGGTACGGGTTTGGGGGATTTTGCCCCCCACGGGTACGTTACTGGGTGATTACCTCACCCATCGGGTGAAGCGGGTATGGGTGCGTTCTTGTATACCCAAAACCCGTTACCCGATGGGTCCCCCATTTGAGTATGACACGTAGGTCCATCTAGTCATTAAATAGTATATAGAGAAGAAAACCCTAGCGTTCCAATTAATCTTCCTCATTCAGCACTTCAGCAGCGCCGCAACCCAGGCATCTCCGCATCTGTTCGCATCCGCTTCCGGCGCCGCTGCACGTTCCCCGCTTCCTGCGTGGCGCCTGCGCCGGCCACGCCGCCGCCGCTCGCTGCGAAGTCCGAAGGATGGCTTCACCTCCCGTGGATGCAAGGCGGCCGAGCCCTGAGTGCGCGGAAGAAGGTGGGGTCGTCGGGGATGGGTCGTGCTCAGTGGAGGACGGTAGCTCGTCGCCATCTCCAAGGTCACCACCGCCGACGCTACATATCCAGATTGGGGCAAGTGGCTCCTCACCAGAGACGCCCACTTCATCTCGTGCATGGTGAGCTCTTCACCTCTTTGAATCCCCTACGTTTCTGTATCTCTTGCGGATTAGTAGACTCGTCGATTTGTATAAAAGATTGTATGTGCCTTATTGAGTTATTGTGCTAACTGTTGGTTAATTTGTATGCAAGTATGCAACGTTGCACTAGCTGTTTTGAAATTAGTTATTAGTATACCTTGTCAATTGAAGTTGAACTAACCAGTCCTGACGACCTCACAAAGGACGCCACCGCTGTTGCTGTCGCAAAAGCTAGTGCTACTGCTAAGGCTAAAGCACCGGTCACCCTTGGCTCGAGCAGCAACCGTACTGTGAAGGTATCAGGCGCCATCAAGAAATAGAGCTGTCTCGCCATTGAAGGAGCACCTGCAACTCCTTCCTCCTCTGCGCTTCAGTTGTTGAGATTCAAGGGGTTTGATTCGATGCACGCTAACCACTATTTTTACTTCCATTTCCTGTTTACTTGAATTATTGAGCTGCTATGTCTTTTAGCATTTGTACAAAACTTTATGTCTTGAGCTGTTTGTTTGTTTGAATTATTGAGCTGCTATGTCATTGTGTCATGAACTCTTAGTTAATTATTGTGTCATGAACTCTTAGTTGATCATTAGCTGCGGTCGAGGACATGTTACATGTAAGTTGTAAGTTGTAACGCTTGCTTGCATACTTGCATGATCATTCTGAATTTTTGATGATGTTTGCTTTGTGAATTGTGATCTTGTGTTATTGTTAAATGGGGATGGGTCACCCGATGGGTACCCATTACCCATGCGGGTGACGGGTCTGGGTAAATTTGAGACCCGTCACAGGTGACGGGTACGGGTGACGGGGTGTTTGAACCCTGATGGGGGCGGGTGTGTTGTCCCCCCCCCCCCGGATTTCTCACCTGTTGCGCTTTTCTTTCTCTCCCGTTCGCTTTTTCTCCGCTGGTTCGACGAGCATCTCGTGGCGACGCCGTTCCGCCGCCGCAACTCTCCCGAATGAAACAAAGCAGCACCACCAAATTGCTCCAGGATTCGGCTAATTCGATTCATACAGACTGTATTTGCGCTGCTAGCCTGTGAAATCGTCCCATATCTCTGGCGGATTTGGTGGATTAAAAGGTTAGTACCTGTTCTTGGTGGAATAGGGTTTGGGTTCGTTTGGGATTTGGAGTTGGGTTACTGATTATGTTGGCGTTGGTGAGCTCCAGCTATTTTTTTGCACACTGCATGCGTCCCTGTTACGCACTGATCTGCTGCTGCTCATCCTTGTACCTTCTTTGGTATTGTTGACCCTGGACAGTACTCCACTAGGAGCACTAGTTATGAATAAAAATCACTAATCAACATAGACATTAGTTTGCAAAATGTAGCTTCATATGAGAGACAATGTTAGCTTCTGGAAATTACAGTTCCTTTTGTATATAGATTGCAATGATTGGGACTAGAAACTGTTATATATTGCGCTATAATTTCTGTGTACTGCCTGGTGTTGGCGAGGGTGCCATGAAGTGAGGATAGGGCATACGAAACTGCATGTGGTACGCAGGGTGTGGTGGGTGTGAAGATGGCTGAAATGGAAAACTTGTAGCACCATCCAGATCTTGAACCCAGCTCATGAAGCTGCCTCTTGGACGATACTCCATTGCCGGTGAGCACAAGACGACAACAAAACTGCAAGGTTTATCATCAGAACTGACTCCTATTACAGATATGAAAAATTGGAAAGAAAAAGTATTGTGCTGTGACAAGTTAACAAGCACCATTTGTGGTACTACCAAACAGGGGAAGGTGGAAATTGTAAGCATCTATTCATGAAGGATCAGATTAGAGTGACAGGAAAATAATTACTTGTGGATGTCACACAGTAGTACTGGAAATTTTAACAGCATAACAGATAGCCAACTAGTCCAATGATTATGATGGGCAAATTCAACGCATGATACCTCCAGAGTTGTAATCAGAGCAGGAATAAATCAATTGGAGACCAAATACAATCTCTGCTGCTATTCAGTACCATGACCTAGAAATTGGGATATTTTATTCTAGATCCAAATCAACAACAGCTACCTCATCCTACTGTAATCTGATAGCACATTCTCATCACAAATTTTGGTATGCAAAATTAAATAACCAATCAAAACAATTTTTTTCTATCTACAGTAGGGGCCTCTTTCAATCCCGAACAAATTCCAGAAAGTAGTAACAACGTACCTGACGAGATCCTAACATACATGTATGCTAAGCCTCGGATCCAATGGTTCCCGAACGAAGAAGGCCCCCCGACCGACCCCTTCAGGGGGATCGAGGGCTATGCCTGTCGGGCACGCTCCCACGCACCCTCTGGCAAAGAGACCTGACCGAGCCTGACTCGACCGCAGCTTCCGCCTGAGGCTCAAGGGCTTTCTCGAGCCTTGGGCTCCCCGATCTACGGCACCTTCGGGCCTAGCCCTTGGCTCCTGCCTAGCTAACGATGCCAGCCAAGGCCTGGGCACAAGAAGACAAGCCCCAGGCTACTGATGCCTGGGGGCTCCCTGGCGTCGCTCCCTAGGCGTGCCTCTGCCAACTGCTCCTCCGATAGGGTCACATCCGGAGCGTGACACAAGAAGACAAATCTTCCCGCGGCCTCCGACATGCCCGGCATCCTCCGAGAGATTGCCGAGCACCGCCTCAACATCAAGACTGACGCCAAGCCGGTGCAGCAGCGCCTCCGCCGCTTCGACTAAGAGAAGAGCAAGGCCATCGGTGAGGAGCTCGCCAGGCTACTCGACGCCTGCATCATCAGGGAGGTCCAGCACCCCGACTGGCTGGCCAACCCCATCCTAGTCAAGTAGAATGGGAAATGAAGAATGTGCGTCGACTACACCGGCCTCAACAAGGCCTATCCCAAGGACCCGTTCACCCTTCCTCGGATTGACCAGGTGGTCGACTCCACCGTCGGCTGTGAGGCCCTCTGCTTTCTGGACGCGTACTCCGGTTACCACCAGATCGCGATGGATCCCTCCAATCAGCTGGCCACGTCCTTCATCACCCCCCCCTTCGGCTACACCTCCATGTCGTTCGGTCTCTGGAACGCCGGGGCAACTGTCACACCCGATTTCGTAGAGCCAAAATCAGGTGCACATCATATGTGTGCCAGGATCAATTT